CCCCTGTGCCCGGCGGGGCGGCCTACCCGGAGCGCCTGCGAGGCGGGCAGTCCCGGCGCACCCCTGTGCCCGGCGGGGCGGCCTACCTGGAGCGCCTGCGAGGCGGGCAGTCCCGGCGCACCCCGGAGCCCGGCGGGGCGGCCTACCCGGAGCGCCTGCGAGGCGGGAGTCCCCACGGGGCGGCGGGTCCGCTCCACGCGGGTGCTTCCGCGTCGCAGTCCGCCGCGTCGTAAAAAGTACTGCGCGGACAGTGCTGCCCGTAAGTTATCGCAGTTCGCACGCCGCCACCGCTATTCCTCCCAGTCCTAATGAAAACATACGGCACGTACTGTTCGCGGGGCGCGCTGTAAAGGCCGTCTGCAGGCCGGCTGGAGGCCGCCGCGGCGCCGTGTCCCGCGCGTTCTCATTACGGCCCCATAACCAACCAAACGCAGCGGGTCGGGGTCGGGCACCGCACCGTGCGCGCTGACCGCCCGCTCGCGCCCCGCGCCCACAGCCGCCGCCGCGTGCGATCGTAATCAGCTGATTTGCAATACGGCTGCGGGGCGTTGGGAACGACCAGGGCGCGAGAGCGCGCGCGAGCGTCACTTACCCTTTTTCTTGCCCCTTCCCCCCTCCGTCGTCATGACTTAACTTGGGGAAATGGGGATGTAGAGTTAGGAAAACCAAGCAGGGAACAACAACACAGTCGAAAGCCTCTAATTTTTCTAACGATCAGCACCCTCTTGAGGGAAAAGGGGGGAGGGAAGAGGGATCATGATTGAGTATCGCTTTAGACCTTTCACTTGGTTGGTCCGATAGCACCTGCCCCTGGGGGGTATCATAGGCAAAAGAGAAGGGGAGGGGAGCGGGGGCAGCACAGACGTGGCATCACTCCAGTCCGGGGCCCCGGGGACCCCCGCGGGCACGGACCAGAACACGTACCTTCTGTCCGACCGTCCGCCTGCGTCTGCCTGTCCGTCCGTCTGTCTCATTCATTGCCAAGTGCAATGCCAGGTCGCAAGAAGGCAGTCGCTGAAATGAAACGTCTCGAACACGGAGGTATATATGTGCATGTGTGTGTGAGTGTGCATCGCTTCCAACAAGGTTTAATTAAAATCTGATGAATCGTTCGGTAGGCCCCGTGTCGATTAAGATTCGGTCCGGCGATAGCTAGCGGCCGCGCCGCGCTAAACGCATGAAGCGAGACCAGTACAGAATATTAAAATGCTCTTTATTTTCGAAACAGAGAAGAAAATAAAAATTTAGATGCATCATATTATAGGGCTTGATTAAAATACACTATTTTTATTATTATTTCTCAAATCCGCAGTGTGTGCGGTGTCACCGCGGGGCACTCCGGCTCGCGCGCAATGACCGCTCCACGGGGCACCAGCCCCAAGTAGGAAAAATAAACTCGTATAACACAAAAACAAACACACACAAAAAAACATACATTTTAAAAAGACGACGAGGAAAAGTAAGTGAGTTTATCGCGTGAGTTATCTGTCCGAGCCAGCGCTTACAATTCAACACGCACAATAACAGGCGCACTCACACACACAGGGACAGGTGGTCACACACGCGCACGTTATCTGCCCGGTGGTGATACGCCTCGCACTTTGTGGTGGCCTGCCTTGGCGTCGTGTGACAACCCTCCGTACGAGCCCCGTACCTCACGGACGTGCCGACGTGCCGGGCGCGTCTGGGCCAGACGGCGAGCGCCTCCGAAGTACGGCCAGGCCAGGAGTTCCGAGAGCACGGGTAAAAACAACTGACCCACAAATTCATTGATTTGCAGGAGTACACTGGTGAAACAAAAGTGATAAGTCGTGCCTTTCCTGGGGCACGAAAAAACACATGTTCAGTGTAGTAAAAGGCAGTAAAGGCAGTAAACAGGGCTCTAAACAGCCCAAAAGGTGCTAAAAATTAGTGCGTTTGGCAGTTTTGAACGCTTAGTGCCTTTTAGAGGTAGAAATTAGCACCTTTGTTTTTCCAGTGTAAAACGAGACCCGAGAGGCTTTTGATTTTGATTCGTGTTAGTGTTGTTTATTCTGTGCTGGCGACCGCGGGGGCCTGGCAAGTAGTACGCCGTTACTAAAGCACATCCGAAACACGTTCTATTCCGAGCACGTCAGGATGGCTGTCGCATGCAGGCCTAGGGCTAAATAGGCGTGGTGGGACGTGGCGTGGCGTGGCGTGGCGGGGCGGGGCGTGGTGGGGCGTGCCGCGGGCCCGGGGGGACCACACCGGGTGCTGCGCCCGGCCAGCGGCCGCCCCCGGGGCCCCCGGAGGAGCTGGAGCGGGGCGCGGCGCGGGGCGGACGGAGCGAGCAGGACATCCCGACCGAGCACCGCACATGCACGCCCCAGAGCAAAATGAAATAAACACATTTAAACGCGCATTCTCTGAAACACGCGCGCGGCCGCGCGGCGGGGGGATCGTGCAAAAACTACATGCGGCTTAGGGTGTACAAGAGATTTGTTTTTCTAGTTTTTTCCCTCGAAGCGCGAAGGCATAGTTACTGCAGGCTGGGTAAAGTTTTCACTATAGGCATAGAATTTCATCTACGCGAGTACGACTCGCCGGCACCCAAAGTCACTTCAGTAAGAGAGAGCAGTAGAGTGGCGTGGCGAGGAGGGAGGAGCACTGCTGCGCCGGTACTCAGGAGGGCTTGTCTTCCTCCTGTCCATCCATTTCCAACCGTTTGACACATCCAGTGCAGTGAAGGGCGGGGTCGGGGTGGAGTGAGGTTGGGTGGGGCGGGAGCATTTAAGAGCAGTGCGCGCCGCGGGACGCCCCCGGGTAATGACCGCGAGGACCACATCAATTACAAACTCCTTTTTATTGGGTTGGCGCTCCCGCTCCCGCTGCTGCCGCTCCCGCGCCGTCACCGGCCACGGCCACCGGGCCGCGCGCGCCACCGCCACGGCCAACGCGGACAAAAACTTGACATCCGGAGGGGGACCGGGGAGAAAATCGAAAATCCTATGCACTGCGGCTTTCCAGATGAATAGAGAGGGAGGAGGGAGCGAGCGCGGTGCGGCGTGGCGGGGCGTGGCGGTCCAGGGCGCGCATTAGGGCGTGGCGCGGCGCTGCCCGGCGGGGCGGGGCGGGGCGGGGCGGACGGGTGTCGGCGGGTCAGTCTGATCGTGCCCCCGGGCTTCTCCAGTACAGGCCCCGCCGGCCTCCGCCGCCACGCCCCGGCCCGCTGCCCGCTGTACCACGAGGCCGACACGAGCCAGAAGCACGACTGGCATCCGGCCGTACAACGCCCCGCCCCGCCCCGCCACGTCTCAGGGCGGACACGAGCCTCCTCCACACGCCGATGCTGCAGCGCTCCCTCACTCCCATCACCAACACCACTTTCACCCAATCACTCGGAATCTTGCTGCGATCGCACTTATTGAAGTTCTTGCCCGATCGCGGCAACGCCAAATCGCTCGCTTGTGCATTCGGAACTGGAATTTCGATGTAGTCTGCTCAAGCAGCGATGTCCTGCATCTACCCTGGAATCCTCGCCGCTGCAACCTCACCTGGATTCCAGCTGCGGGGGGACCAATGCTTACTCCCCGTCGTCGGCTCTCGATTCACTACCTCGACTTCCTCCCTTCCCAATAACCTCGAGAGGATGCCGATGAAGATATCAGCCGCGCAAATGGTCCGCCGGCCTGCAGGCTGGCTCCGCGCGCACCACTGGAGTACCGGGGCCGCGTTCGGAACGGGTCGCAACATCCGCGGTGTTATGGGTACGGGTAGGCACTCATCGGGGTGTTCCATGCCGACCCGGACGCACTCCGGCGCGGAGGCGGGGCGGGGCGCGGGGAGGGGGCGCCTGCTCTTAAAAACCTCTTTAAGACCCCGCCCGCCCCGCCTCACCCGCCTCCCCGCGGTAAAACGTTTCTATCATTAGGAGGAGCACGCC